AGATTTGGCCTTATTCCACTTACTGCATCTAAAAACATTATGAGCAACTGAGAATGCCAAATTTTAATCTTATTAGATGAGCAGTGTTCTTGGTGCCTTCAGTGGTAGCTGACAGCATTCACCATCTGGGAGCACCGGGCCCATTACTTAAAGCTGACTGGGTGAGTGTTTGCTTCCTCATCACCACAGATAACATTTCCATTCCTGCTCAAATACTGAATAAAGAGGAACTATAGGTGAAACTGAGCCCTGTAAGGCTTTTACTGACCCTCTATAAGCATTTTTTTCTTGATTAACTTGCCCATAAAGATCAGTACTCTGACAAGATCAACCTTTCTTAATTGTGTAATTACTGTTGCTATTTATGTGCTATTACAAGCATCTCCCATTATTTCTGAGCAGTAAAAATTCTCTCTTTTGTTAGACCAACCAAAATAGCTGTAAACCCAGGCATTTCTACAGGAAGGCATAAGGAACACTAGGGGTACCCAAAGCGTAACTTCCTTTTCCAAGATGACCTGGTCTAAACTAAGCTCTTCAGACAGCATATATGTGGAACAGGGTAACAGGTTTATCCAAGATTCTAATATGGTTCACTCGTTTGGTTGAAGTGCTTACTGCAGTAACCCTTTGATGTTAAGCACAAAAGCTAATAATTAAAGTGTAAGTCATGTTAGATTACCTTTAGTAAAAAAGCATTACTCCTAAAACAAGCTACCTGGATAGAAATTAAGTTAACGAACATGAGAACATAAAACAGGTTTGCATAAAGGACAAATCTGTAACACATAATTCAGGACCTCAATTAAAGCACTCCAAAGAACAAACCAGATGAACAAGGTTTCAAAGTCTGTGATGAGGAGGGTCATTCTTAATTAGATCTTTATGTCACTTCCATTATTCAAATACTTAAAAGCTCTCTCCACAGTTTATCATATTAATTGATAAATACTACATGGGAAACTGAACAATAGCTACACGGAATTTAATACTCAAATCATGGTAGGATATATTTGCATATTGGGGTGAGATACAGGGCTTTACTTTTCACAGTTCTGTATTAAACAATCAAAAGAAAATCCTCAATATCACAATCTGAACAGGACACTGCTAACCAGGAATTAAATGCACTCCTGACCCAAAGTCCTCCTAATCAGAAATCAGTAAAGCACATTATCCTTTACCATACTAAAATGAATACATCACTGTTAATTTACAGCAAAGTAATCAATATATGCAGAAACAAATAATTAGTGTATAGACATCTTACATTGGTATCACCCTGCTCTTGTGAGGAGATACATAGTTCTGGTTCTGTTCAACAGCATCATATTTAATGTCTCCTGCAATATTTTTACCAAACATCACCATTACGAGTAAAATTTTAAAATTCATGTAAATAAGCATACTAGCTAGCATAGCCAATAGACATTTATTTAGAAATGTGAATTTATATTCACCCAGTGTTAACAGCTAGAGATTTTTAATCTCTCAGAATATCTCTAATTACATTATCTGCTATACTGTTTACAGGTATTTACCTGAAAAGTTGAGGAAAACATCTTTGCTTATGGTTTCATCTTCCTGAGCTTATTCACCACATAGCTTGATAATTTAACAATAAGGTTCTTCTGCCATAAAAACTAATTTACAAGTAGGAAAGTAACATGCAAAAAGCTGCTCAGCATTCTGCCATGCTAAAAACTGCACCTACACAGGAGATACTCTATTTATCCTGGGCACTTGCTACATCTTTTTCCTTATATATTCCTTTCTGTGATCTGTATAACAAACCAGAGTTTAAGCACACTTGAAGTCTTATCTATAACATAACCCTAAAATAGCAGTATTTCATTATATCATGATTAGCTTAAGCTGCATACACTGTTCTTCACACCTGCTGTTGTAATACTGCCTTAAACAGGAAACTTGAGTGTTGGGATGGCAAAAATTTAGGTATAGTTCAGAAACAGGGGGGGGCCCTACCCTGGGAATAATGGAGTCAATCCACATCTGCAGAGGGGGAATAAACCTTGCTGAGTCTTCCTTTGTTATTCTGTCTTAATAAGGGCATATAGTGATGGCATAACACAACAAAAGTTCAGCTCATTAATACAAGAGGGAACCAGGACTCACACAGGCTTGTTACATTTGCCATTACCAGCTTCTCACTCATTTTTCTGTTGAGGCTAACACACAAACACACACTAGTTTTCACACGCATCTGTGTGCCAGTATAGTAACCCTCAGTAAGGATTTCACTGTGAACCCTCAAGATCACAAGCTGAGCCCAGAGAGGCGCATAGGAGAAAGTTAAAAATCTGCGGGCCTTTCCCACTGCAGCTCTACTGTGTTGCTCCTCCACCTTCAGAGCAGGGGAGGGGGGGGTCAGCAGAGAATTCAGATGGGATTCATCTGTCCCACAGTCCACACACTAGGAGCCTTCTCCTCCAGTGCAGGCAGAGCTGTGACCTGAGCATAGTGGGATCCACACCCACTTCCCAAGTGGCATACATAGGCAACTCTAAAATGCTTTATCTTTTCTCAAAAAATGATATGCAATGGGGGTATAACACAATGGAAATTCACCTGTTGCTTATACAGTAGAGGATCCTCATATAAAATTGTTATGACACATAAAAAGTTTCCATATATGTATGCAGGTGTTTTACTTGCACTTAAATGCACCACAGAGTTCTTGAGCATTTGTGTGCTGGCACTGTAGCTGTTTCTGTGGTTAGCACCACCCTCATAGAGACAGTCAGGTAGGAACTCAGGATGAGGGCCGAGTAGAGGTGCACAGAAGAAGTTGTAAAGTCCTTTACAAAGTAATGGCAGTTTCTTCTTTTTCCAACATGTAGCAACTAGGATTCTTGTCTCCTTAATGTTATCTAGGCAATAAACAATCTATACTGCTCTTTTCTTATACAATATTGTTATCTTAGTCCCCCACTCTGCCATAAGCACATACTACAATCACATTACAATCTTCTGTTGAGATCTCTACCAGCTAAAAAGCATTAGCACCATCCCAGCTGGTAAGTTACCCATTCATCAAACTCCTCTCAACTGCAATACATTGGTGCTCTAAAGTAAATATTTAACTACAACTGTTGTGCCTCCAAACAGTTCTCCTTATCTTACATATTAGAATTTCCTAATTTTCCTCCAAGGAGTATCTGATCACTTTCACCACCATTACCCGATACCCTCATTGTACCCTTTCCTGCTTCTGTATATGGAAGTCACTCCAGCACTTAAAAGGAGAATACAATCCTAAGTCAGGACAGGAAACCTCCTAGCGCAGACACAAACCACTCAGTCCATGGTAGTAAAACCATTCCACTCACGTCGCTTGATTTTTTTTTTACTTTTTATTTTTGGTGTGCAGTTTACCAAAACTCTTTGCAGTTTATAAAAACCCATACCCAAACTCCTCACATATTTGTTACCAGCACACTGTGTTAAACCTATTCTTAGTCTTACCTTTTAGAAGGCTTTTCAAGTACCACTTCATGGCTTCACTAACACCACACATGGATAAGGTCTGTGTTCACTTATAAACACCCAACCAACAAACTCATCAAAGTTGCTTCCATATATGCAAGTCTCATGCTGGTCCTTTTCCTCATGGTTAGCTCCCTGGCTAGAAAACGTTGGTGGAGAAAAACACTGTAAACCACTGTCAGATAAGTAATTAACCGCGGTTCAGCAGGTAGCTCAAAGGTACCTCACCGCTGCTGGGAGGCACACCCTCCCCATAGCTTCTACTCGGCAGACACCCTGACATTAGACCAAGGGCTTCAGTTTTAGGAAGCAAACAGGCAAATCACATCTTCAGCATCATAATCAACCCGGAGGTAGGGAGTCAGTTTTAACAGTAAAAGACGTTCAAAGACGAAAGGTCTGATACTTTGTTCTCCAGGGGATCCCGGCCGTGAGCTGAGGCGACAGCCAGGCTTGCATCTCACGGACAGCCGCAGCACCACCCCAACTCCCCCTGTCGCTCCTGAGCGACCCCTTTCCCTTCAGGAGCGAGGGGTGTGCCGTGTCCCCCCCCCCCCCCGCCGGGGCGGGGCCGGCCCATGTGGACCTGAGTGACTACGCCGCGCCTTGTCCCGTCCCGTCCGGGAAGTGCGGTTGCCGCTAGAGCAGCAGCGGCTATCCTGGAAGGTGGTCTCTGTCCGTCGCTCCCCTCAGGCCGCCGCTGGAGCCTCACCGTGACAGGTAGGGGGGTAGGAGCCCTTCTCCCCGCTGCGCCAAGGGACGCAGCTCAGCGCCTAGCAGGACGGGAAGGTAAGGCTCTTCTGGGTCGAAACCTTCCGCTCTCCTGGAGTCTGCCCAGCTCGAGTTGAGTCGAGTCGGGTCGGGTCGGGTCCGATGGTAGGAGCCGACCGCGGCAGCGGTCCCGGGGGCGCTGGGGCAGCCGTAGCTGCCCTCGGCTGGCTGCATGTCTGCGCTTTTCACCGGTGTCGGGCGAACGGAAGAATTGCGGCCTTGTTTCACTCTCATTTTCTGTAGCCATTTAGTCTGGGGAGTGCTCGGCGTGAGGAGGTTGGTCGCGGCTTTTTCCTGCCGAAGTGGTTTCTGTGCGGCCGTTGACGCCAGGTAGCTTTTGTAAGCTGCTGTGGTGCTCTGGCGGCAGGACTGCCGCGATCCCAAGTTCAGAGTCTACCTACAGCACGCAGTGTGATCGTTCCCTGTAGAATTGCCACCCCCGGGCTGCTGCTCTGCTCTCCATAGGGAGCGGGAGGGACCGACTCGCTGCTCTGGGTGAGAGGCCCCGCTTACACCTGCGGGTGTTACACAACCAGAACTTTGTTGAACCCAGACGTGCTGGACCAGTTTGGATCCTTGTTCTTCCATTAGGAAGCCAAGAGCCTCAGCTGCATGTAGGTGCTTGTGTTAGATGACTTCATGTATAGGATTCATTCATGGTTCATCGCACACTTCGGAATATGGCGTCGTCGCTTTAACTCAAGTTCGTTCCTGTCTGACAGATACCACACCATGCTTGTGTCTTTGGTTCTGCTGTGTCAACTACACGGGATGATGTTTGCGTTTCCTTACTGCACAGGGACGTTAAATAGCTTGAAGCAACCTGAGCATAAAGACGGTAACTTACTTTTAATGTGATTGTTTTCCAAAGCAAAACTGCATCTATTTTTGTTTCTGCTGAGAAATCTTTTAATGTGTGTAAATAGTTTTGGTTTTGTTGGTTTGGGTTTTATTTGTGGGTCTGATTTTTATTTTTCTTTTAAACTTGATTAAAAAAAAAAACAAAACTCTTTTATGCTTTATTTTAGAATATTTGAATATCTTTTGCTGAAATGATTGATAATTGACCTGGGTGTCAATATTAAGTATTAATCAGACCCAGCAGTAAGCACCAACTGGGACAACTATACTTTCTCTAGGTCTGTAGGGTTATTATAATTGATAAAACCAGAATACTCTAAGTAACATGACAATTCCAAAAGGTTGAAACATATTTGAAAGGGTTTATTTACTTGTTTTTAGAGATTGGTACTTCTTTATCAATACCAGATCCCCTTAAACACATTGAAAGAGAAATATTGTGCTGCTATTGAAGCTCTTTACTTTGGAGGAAGTGGAGAGGAACTGAGGTAAAAACAAATTCCCCAGGACTCAAGCACAATGGTGCTATGCTATGTGAAACTTAACGTTTAAGCATTAGGGCTTCAAAAAGAGATTTGTAACTTCGCTGCCCAGTCCCATAAGTGGACAGAGTGCTGAAACCTTAAGACAGGCTTTAATAAAGCATCTCATTGAGCTGGAGGCCCCTTCAGGGCAGCATGTTGAGCAGAAAACATGGCTAGCACAAAAATGCTCAAGGCAGGTTATTCATGAAAATCCGTATTTCTCTTTGGGCGTAGAGCATCATGCCTGTGAGCTGATGGCAGAGGGCCTGCCCCTGACAACAGGCCCAGACCACTCCTTTCTCAAGAACAGAGCTGGAAAGAGAATGTCCCAACTCTTCACCCAGTAATTTAGCAAGCAGAACAGTTACCCAGAGCATGGGGTACCTGCATCGACAGGTTACCCCTGAAGCATTTCCTGAATGTCTTTTACAAGCAGAGCTGCTTTATTTAGCACATTGGGTGCATTTCTGATTAAAAGGTAGGCATCCTAAAACTGCATTTCCTGTTTTGTTGAACCAAGGACTGCAGAACTGCATTCAACACCCTCGTGTAGGAAAGAATTCAGGCCCATCTTTCATTCTCCAAATACTTTCTTAATCAGAGGTAATTCTTAATTACTATCTTAATTGCAGGCAATTTGGAGATGGAGATAGGTGTATTTTGACTGTGGCCTACAAGGTGCAAGAAGTGCAGATAAATGGATAAAGACTCTTTGAAAGAAAAAAGGAGCACGTACCACTGGGGATTAGGGGTCTTAGGCTCCAGGTGGCTTGCTTATGCATTACCCAGTAATTAAAATGCATTGATTATGTAAGTTAATTAGCTAATTAACTTAGCTAGTAATGCTTGCATGGGAAGGAATTAAATGCAACTGAGCAAAACTGAAGATCTCTGTTCCAGAAGGCTGAAGTAGTTCTTGTGATTGCAGTGAGCTAAAAATACTGGTAATGTTTTTCCCCTGTAATTCTTTCCTATTTCCACCTGTGGGTTTGTTTGGTGGGTTTAGTTTTGTTTTTTAATTAGGTCCTTCTCTCTGGTTACTCTTAGATCTAGCATAAATATTTGAAGCTTGGATTTTCCTTGGAATAAGTTTTCCCTTTTTACACAACAGCATGTGCACATGTGTGGCTCCTTCAATAAATACTGTAGTAGTATGTAAAGGATATAAATATATATTGTAATATTCCTTCAATATACTATGGTATTCAGGACATAAGCAGTGAATATGCACATTACACTGCATTTTTCTTCAGAGAGCAAACCATTTTGAGATACTGCTGCAAGATCTAACAGTAACTATTAGGTTAAAAATTCCTAATGATGTAACAATCTAGCCAAACAAGCTGACAAGAACACAGAGCTAATTTGTAGCTGAATAACTTCATACTGAATCTCATCTTCTTTTTTTAGCTGTCTGGCTTGATATGTAACAGTGTTGTTTCTACTTTACATTTGCAACAATAATCCTCTACTTATTTTGCTTAACCAAATATACTGAATTTGTTGGAATACAGATTAGGCTTTCACTGAAAGCCAAGCCAGAAAACTAGTTCTGTCATACATATACATACATACATATATATAAAGAATCTGTAGCAAGAGCAGGCTAAAACTTGACTGTGAAAGATGCCTGGTGAGAAGATGCATTCCTGTATTCCAAAGCCTTCTATAATTTCACTAACTCTCCTGGAATCTCACCTCACAGCTTACTCCATGAGGCCTCATGGAACCTGTAAAATGCATAGAAGAATTAAATCTCTTCAGAAGTGCCTGTTGTCGGAAAATTTCTATCATGGACTAATTTAAACTTGGCAATATGGCAACCTTTACCTAAACTTGCTGCCTCAATTGTGAAAAGAGAACAAAGGTAGAATAGAACTCTGCTGCTATGACTTAAAATCCAAATTCTGTAAATAAAATTTGGAACTCACAGACACCAGAATATTGATAAAACGTATACTGAGGATTCTTTAGAAGGAACATATTTTTTAATTCTTTTTCTGCCCTCTTGCCTCCTTCCTCCAGTAGGTCAGTATCTTGCTGGGTTTGGATCTGACTGAATTTCTGCTTCATGTGACTATTTGTTCTTAAGAGAGCCAGTAAAAAACTGATGCCCACATTCCTGAAGAAGTAACACTAAAACTTGAACAGCAGCTGGCCTGAGAATTGAGTTTTCTTGGTCAGTATACGGAATAACCAAAATGTTTTATGGGAAAGGAAAATACGTTTATTTTATATTGCCTAGTTAGAAAAGTTAGCAGCAAAGAAGGAGAGAGACCTTGATGTTTATTTTCCCTGTATGTAGTTGAAAGATGTCACGGGAAGATGTGTTAATGTGTTCCTTTAGGATATTAGCCATTCCTTTAACCCAACAAATTTGGCTGTCTTAACTTCTTCTAAATCAATTTATTTTCTTCTTATTAGTGTTCACATCAGAAAAGGAGGCAAATTTGTTCATTGGACGCCGTCTTCTGTATAACAGATTTGATTTTGAGGCATTCACCCCAGATAACCTGGAAAGAGAATGCCTTGAAGAGCTGTGCAATTATGAAGAAGCCAGAGAAATTTTTGAAGACCCTGATAAAACGGTAGCTGTTCATACTGAATTTAATATACTGAAGGAGGTTACCAACTAAATAATTACTGTATCTAAATACTGTACCCCTCCTGAAAATAGCACTGGAAATGATTGCTTATTTTACTGTAAATGGGGTTATTGCTCTAGATACACAGTGAATACACTTCATTATGTACTATTGTCTTAAAAGACTTTAGGTAAGGGCTTCAATTCTGCAAAACAAATATACATGAAACTTCAGAAGTAGCCCTTGTGGGTATACCTGTATGTGTTTTTAGAGGCTCATTAATCTTTTTAGTAACTGCTCAGCATCCAATTTGAATGTGTTCACTATGCTCTAGGTATTAATTGGCTAACTGTGTCATGCCAAAGAAGTGTTTTAGAAGAGACGAGTATGGAGCAAATCTGCAGTTTAGCTATTGCAGAGTACTCCTAAAGCATTATCTTCCAAATCACTACCTATATACAGCTTGGGAGAAAACTGATAATAAAATAAAAAAAAAAAAAATATTCAAAAGAAACCTTTCAGCCCAATAGTGGAATGTGATGACTGTCTGAAAACTGTTCTTGCTGCAGGCAGCAAGAATCTTTGTGATTCTGGGTGTGCTCTGCACTAACCTGCAGAAAGAGAAATACACTCCTCCCTGAAGGTGGAAACATTCCATTACTATTTTTAGTGTTTTCTTAAGAAAAATGTGGAAGCATTAACTCAGGATCTTGATGGAGTCTTCTGCTGGGTAGCAGAAGTGGAGGTTACAGCTAAACACAGTCATGCAACATAAAGATTCTTCTCTTAAATAAATTCCATTATTTTTCTTAGATGGTATGAATTCAGATACTTTTCATGCAAATGTCTGATTCTTAAAAACTTGACTTTGCCTCACTAATACTCTTCTGTAGGGATTTAAAAAGATGAATTCTCAGCATTTTTATAGTGTCAGAATATATGCTGACCTCTACTGCAATCAGGCAGAAATAAGAGGTAACACTGGACAGCTAAATGCACTTTTCTCTTTCACCAGCTGGTATTTTCTGCTTTGTGAAACTGTATTTTATATACAGACTTGAATGTATGTGAAAAATATGGTGGGAAAAGCAAGTCTGAATTCTTCAGCAGGAGTCGCTTCTGTTTATGACACTGTTAAATTTCGCCCACAGTACCATATTAAATGACATTGTCAATAAGCCTGCCGATTATGTATCCATAAATCTCGTCATTTTGGTTTTATAGATGGATTTTTGGAAAGACTATTCAACTAAAGGCCCTAAAATAAAACTAGGTAAATAATCTTTTTATTCTTTGCTTATATTGCAGTATTTTGTGTTTGTTGTAATAGTACATTTTTAAAAATACACCATGCATTCAGTTACCAATATCAGAATTGATCTTTTTACTGAAATTCACTGTGAGCTGTACAAGTTTATTGCATTATCTGATATAGTAAAACTCATTAAAGTGTCTTACAGTGGGATCCAGTGTTAGTCTGTAGGTAAAAGTAGTATAATTTTCTTGTCCATTTGTTTTATTACACAATTGGTAAAGTCTGCGGTAATTCTGTGTCTGCTTTCTGTGGTTTTTGTTTGTTTCTTCCCCTTTCCTCCCCATTTCTGTAACAGTAATCCAAGAGTGATTTAGGTTCAGAGTAGTCTTATGCCAGATGTTTTATAAAAAAAAGGTCAATATGACTTGAGGAGAGAGCTGTAGCCTGATCAAGGTCACAGGTACATGAAATAATATATAGAAGACATTAGAAGACAGCTCTCAACAATGCTATGTGCAGAAAAGGAAGTATCTACTAACTTTTGCTTTAAGCTGCATGTGAATGATACTCCTGGGTGGTATTGCACAGATACAGTGGCTTCCCACAACAAGCTACGCATTTGTGGAAAGGAACACAGCAAGTGTCCTATAGCACAGCAAAATTAGTATTTTACACTGTATACTAGAGAAAGAGCACATAATGAAAATAACCAATGTTTTATCTTTAGGTGATGAGACACTACAAAAGATAAATGTTACAGGACTTCTCATCAGTCTTGTTGCTGCTGGAGTACTGTTAGTTATAACTGTACTGCTTACCTTCTACTGCTGCAAAAGTAGATGCAAATCAAGGCAACCACCAGGGTAAGAAATTCTGCTGATTAAAAAACAAAACAAAACACCAAACCAAACTCTTGTGTAAGAGTGGAATTTAAAACTCATTGTGGGTTGGTCAGAGTGTGTTCTCAGAGAATCCAGTGAGAGTTGTAGTTCTTGCTTTCCTGGCAGCAAAGTTAGGTGAGCACTAGCAGTAGTTATGCTGAAGTTAATAGCACAAAACCATAAACCAACACTTGCCTAGCTGATGTACCTTTGGGGATTTTTCTTTTTAGTGTGTGTTCTTGGTTCCAAACTATTCGTGCTAAAAAGGTGGAATCATTTTCATAGGCTGGGGCCTGCAGTGGAAAGTTTAATGTGTTCTGTTTGCTTTTTAAAGGAGGTTGTGTGGTCTTTATGGCATGTGGTCTGCCTCAGGTGTGAGATGAAGTACGTTGAAGTGCTGCTTCACTAGTTCTCCAGCCCTGCTTTTTCCTTTATCCTAAACTTGAAAGGAATAGAAAAGGATTCTGTGCTTCCTCTTCCCTATAAATTTCACATTATTGAGCTATTCTTATTGTGTGGTTTGGAGAGAGTCTTTGTGATCATTGAAGGCAAATGGTTTTTGTTGTATGGTGAAGTTTTTCTGGGGTGGCTTTTTGTTGTTTGGGGTTGTTTTGTTGGTTTGGGGTTTTTTTATTACAACTATGACTGTACGTTCTCTCTTCCCTCTAAAAGAGAAGCTGCCACTTATACTGCTGTTTAATTTTGCTTAGGTACTTGGATTACATAAGAAGTAGAAGACGGAATTCATCTAGCATCTTCAGAAGGCATGAAGAATTTTCTTTAAATCCACTTCCTCTTGGAATGGATGATTCATCACTACCAACTTATGAGCAAGCAGTTACTTCAGATGGACAACACCACAACATGCCACCACCCCCTTATCCAGGGCCCCCAAACTGGGCACGGGTGTTTAAGAAGTCTATGTCACTTCCTGGTCCTTAGTCACCAGCCTCCTTTGGGGTGAGAGGGCATTACTGGCACATAACATACTTTTCTAGAAAGTGTGCACTACCTTGCATATTGCAAGACAGTTTACAGAAATCTTTAGCACAACTAGGAGCACATGAAGGTCCCAGTTGGGAAGAGAGGTGATCTGTTGCAAAGGCTGCGGGACTATGCTTTGCACAAGGTTATTGTGCCAAGAGGAGGGAATGCATAAAGAGGAGGGAATGCATAAAGAGGAGGTCTTGCACTGCCACCCTCTTAAATACGCACTTTGAACCATCCCATCACACTATTGATGTTTCATTAACAGTTTCATCTTTTTCTTTTTTTTTTTTATTTGGAAGGAACAGTATTTTAATTCGTTTTATTGACATCATTTTTTGTGACTACTAATACTTTAAACTGCCCTAGGAAGTCTACTTTGATATGTTCACTTAATTGCTGTATGAAATTTCTATTTGTTCTAGTAATAGATTTGAATATGAAAATTATTTCATTAGTTGATTTTTCATATATATATTACTGCTTCTGGATTACATTGGTTTGTTTGAAAAATACATACAACCCAGCTGATACCTGTGGACATTGGACTTGTTCTTATTCCCAAAGCTTCAGAATCAGACTAGGCTTCAAGAAGTTACAAACCTCTTTGCAGCTTCTGTCTTGTTGAGAGACTGGGGAATCCCTTGTTGGGATAGCTTCAATTCACTTTTGCCCTAGTTGTAAAAAACATTCTGAAGTTCTTGGAGGTCTGTAAGACCAAAATAAGTGAGTTTTGAGAGATCACTGTTAATAACCAAAATAGAGTTACAATAAAGCTATGGAATTAAAAGCTTGCAAAAATTTACCTAACAATTTCAAATTTGTTAATGTGCATCTTGAGCTATAGAGCATGCTTTCCTATAGATTTTTCCTGGGACTGACAGGAGCACTTTCAAGGAAAAAGATTTCATAGGGCTTGTAAAAGTTCAGAGATTCCTTAATGTTACTAGCGATACAGTCCTAGTAAGTAGATCTGGTAAAGTCATGTTTTAAATGAACTACAGAAATTGCACAGAGACATATTTAATCACTTGATATTTGGTCTGTGTCTACAAATAATTTGCAAATGACTCTGTGCAATGCCCTTCATAACAGAAAACCTTAATATGGTTTAAGAGTTGAACATGGATGCTGTAGTGCTTTGGGCAGTAGACTGCATCTTCTGTAGGGTGTAACACTTCAAATTTATTCAAAGAATCACCTAAAATATGCAATGACTGACATTTAAATACTCATTGCACATAACATGAAAAAACAGGACACATTCTGCTTATTACAAATGAGAAGCAAAGTTTAAAATTTAGCTGACCATATCATAAACTTACCTCTCCTTGTAAAGGGATTGAGTGGCAGCTGTTTGGGTTGAGTTTTTCTTCTTTCATACATTGATTCCTGACCCAGGACACTTTTGCCTTGTGTCTTGTCTCTTTTCAGAACTTCTGATACATCAGGGCTGGCATAGGAAAAATCAACAATAGGAAGACTGTGGTGATGTGTGAATTCAGAATTGTTGCCACTTTTCCAAATTTTACATGCAGTTTCCTTTGAAAACGCAGTTGCTATGAGAATACAAAAAACAGCAAATAGAAGTGTCCTTATGTGGGAGGAGGAGGAGATAGATTTTGAGGAGCAAAGCAGCAGGAATTTTAATCTAATTTGTGTACAGGTGTAAATCATCAGTATTTTGACTTCTGGGCCTTCTTTCAAGGGCCAGTAGGAAAGGCAGTGGATCTTAAGGAAATTAACAGAGATATACTATGACAGCTGAAAACAGAAGTGTCTAAATAAAACACTGGGAAAAATTACATCGTACTTAAAACTCCATTTCTCTTGGAACAGGTTTAAACATGTCACACTTAAAGCTGTTAGCCAATGCCTTGAATAATTTCCCAAAACTTAGCCTTTTCAGCATCATAAGATTATAGCATGCAGCTTTTCATAACTTAGGATGTTATTAGTTACATCAAATAACATTATTAAAAATAATGTTTAATCCAACATTATGCAGCTTTTCATAACTTAGGACACGTTATTAGTTACAGCAAATAACTGAAGGGCAGAAAAGTGGTCTCTGGCTCTGTCACCTGAAAAAAGGAATCAGTTAACCTGTTTTTAATTCAGTGAAATAAGAAAGCTTACTATTTATCAAATCCTCCAACGAACAGTATTATAGCCATTATGTATTTCTCGTATTTTGTGGGGATTTTCATTGGGATTTTTTTGAATTTGTTACAACAGCAAACCTGAAGTACCAAATGGAAGTGCACTCCTCACTACAGTTCATGAACATGTGTTTGATTCTGGTCCTATCAAAGTCTATGGCAAGGTCTTTATTGGCTTCAGCTGAACTGAGATTGGAACCAAAACCAAAGTAACTGATCACTTTGAGTAATAAAAAAAGTGTAATGCTTTGCCAAATTATTTACTACAGAGCTGTTGCCAAATCTGATTTGAAGTATTCTATTGTTTTAGTGATGCCTACTGATACTAACTAGAATGTTTTGAGTCTGATCTGCCCCCAAGAATTATATTTGAAGTTTGGAAAGCACAGGAAAATTCCTTGTCTTTCCTTCACATTACCAGCTGTAAGTAGCGTTAATTACCTGTAGGTTATTAGCAACACTGTTTGATTAATTAGGTCAACAACTGTACAGGTTCATTTAAAGCTTAAAAAAAACCCCAAAACAACAAAACCCACAAAGAAACCCAGACTTCTATCCACAGTCTCATCTGCCAAACAAAATCGTTACTGCTGCTATCCCCACTTGTTCCATGTGGGGTAGAGAATAGAAAGGAAACCCTAGGTTTAAAAAACATCTTTCAAACACCTCAGTATACTGTAAATATCTTTCAATTAATTCCTATCACATACAAATTTATCATTTGTCATTTTCACAGTCAAGAACTGGGATGTATTTTCCTCTCAGAAATCTTAAGTACATCTTTCCAAATACCCCATTCTATTCAGATGGTAACTTCAGACTTTCCAGTCATTTATGACCTGTGTGAGCAGTTTGAACAGTTCTTGTTACTTCATCTTATACACATATTTCCTTCTACTAATCTGACAGAGCCTTTTGAATACACTGGTCACTGGTCACATTTTAATTGTAACTTTGACATTAACTGCTGTCATTTTGTTGGGTGAGGGGTAGCAATATTAGTCTCTGTTATTTTGTAAAACAATTTCCAAATAAACATTTACACAGGTTAATCACAGCAAAAGAGAAGATGCCTATTTAGCTTGTGATAACAAAGGCTGACAACACTTTTATTATTATTTTTTTAAACGAAGTTGGTAACAGCATGCCCTCTTCTTAAAGGAGGATTATAAGAAAGGCGGGGACAGACTTCTTAACAGGGCCTGTCACAACAGGACAAGGGGTATTGGTCTTGAACTGAAAGAGGAGAAATTCAGACTAGATATAAGGAAGACAAGCCAACTTCTGCAGAGAGGCAGAAGGGATACATGAGGGCAGCTGGTAGAACAAATGCTGCAGTACAGTGACTTTATACTAAATTAAGCCACTCTTGCTTTGCCCACTGGGAGACAACAGTCAGATTTGTGCTTTTTCTCCCAAGTACATGAGATGAGCTGAGCCAGCTGGTTAAAACTCCTCAAAGAATACCAGAACCCCCTCCTGTATTTGAACATCAAGTGAAGCTTTTCAGTCAGTCAACTGAACTAAGACTTGGAATACAGCTCGTGAGGTATAGATACTTCATTCTCATTATAAGTCTTGGGGAAAATAGAATCCCAGTTCTCTGTAAAATGTCATCTGTTTATAATCTTATGACTTTAGCTATACATTTCCCAGATACAAAAAAAAAAAAAAAAGTTTGTATTAACTGGATTTCAATAATTCTGAAAATTAGGTGAATGTTGAGTAAATCTACACCATTATGATACTACTTACTTTTTTTAAAAAAATAGAACAAAAAAGTAACCACAGCTCAAATTAATAAAATTTCCCGTTTAATTTTTAATCTCTGTGTCCACTGAATAAACAGCCAGCCCCCTATCTTTGAAATGTCAAAAATAATTACTGCAAAACTGCCCTAACTTAGCAAAATACTGATATGTCAGCAAAAGACAAGCTCCAGCTGGGAACTCCAGGTCCTATGATGTACCAACAAGGAAAGAAATAGTAGTTCCATTAGTGTTTAAACTACAGTTCAGTTTGCTGTTCACTTTTGTGGGAGCAACTTCCCCAGATTTTCCCCAGGTTGACACCATTCCTCTATTTTACCATAAAACACATTCTTTCATGTAACTTTACAATGGCAACTACACTAATTGCATACATGGAAAATAACGGAATAGGAGGTATCAAATGTATTTTGGCTATTTTTGATGCAGTAAATTTTGTCTGTGCTAAAAATAAGTTAACTACATTAACTACTTTTGCTTTACATATAGCTTTTCATTTTCTTCTGGTTTAGGGGGGTGGTTTGTGGGTGGGGTTTTTTTCCCCTCCTTTTCTCATTGTTCTACCTATAATTTGTTATTGATTTTTTTCCCTTCTCCGATACCTTCTTCTGTGTCTATTCATAATCTGTTATTGCACACTTGCCTATTTGCTGTTTGGTGAGTTTGTTTGTTTTCCTTTCTCTCCCCCCTGGACATGGTTCCCAAAAACCTGGTCCCCTCCCTCTCTCTGAAAACCCCTTTTCTTGACAGCTTGCTTTGTCTCTTCACAGACAGCAAAGCCTTTAGTTTATCTTTTCCCTCTGCTTTTTTTTGCACAGCCCCTACGCAAAACAAAACCTTATAACAGGTTTTAAATTTCTGATGCAATGCCTACTTTGTTTAGGAAATAAAAACACCTGCAATGGTTCCAAGTTGTTCAGCAGCTTCAGTTTAATTTCTCTAAAGACCAGCAACTACCAAGTACTGAATACATCCAGTATTTAATGTTAAATACCCAGCATGGATATGATACAAAGGAGAATATCTAATAAAAGGTAAAATAAAATACTTTCCATTACAACTGAGTTTGTTCAAAAGCAAAGTTTTCTTTTTCCAACATGTCATTGCACATTTCTCCTACATACCTTATACCAGTTCTGGTCATTACTGGATCCCTTTGTAAAACATTAAGCAGAAACACAGACCATTTCATCCTGAGTGGGTGAGCTGAATCAACACAAGCACGTGGTGGCACCTTGGAAGCTGTGGAACCACACAAAAGGGAGGATTAGGAAAGTGAAGGAAACACGGACTTCCATCTCATTGCTGCAATAAGCTTTCTACCAGCTCAGTCATGTCTTACCACCTCAGGAGAAGTGCTATGGTTTCATAGATCACCTTTAGCTCAACAGAATAAATTATGAAGATTTTGCTTCATTTGTTTGTACATACACTCCAGCTTTTCATCAAATAAATGCACAGAATAGCATATATAAAGAAATGCAAATAAAGAGACTATTTGCTATGAGCCTCCAAGATTAACTGTGTTCTTTGAAAGGCAGCACTTTTTTCCCTACTTACACATTTCTCAATGTCTAGCTTGATGTTTGAAGAGGCCATGTGCCAAATTAAATGTAAAATCTAATTGGTCAAACAACTGCAGCTTTATGCTTTGGCCAGAATCACAAATACAACAACAACAATAAAAAACACAGCCAGTGATTTGTAATCAGCCTAACCAAAACTCATTACTGCATAATATCTGATCTACTTACCCACTGCTGCTCACAGAAGATGCCACAGCCTAATAGCACACATACAGAACCTGCCCAGAAGTGCTGCATCCACCATCTGTAAGCGGATGTTTACTGTTTATCAGTGTTCAACAGAGAAAGATCCTGCAGACTTGTAATTCTGTGCTCCTCTTAAGAATTTGTTAGTATATCAGACCCAGCTCAGCTTTGGCCTGAACTTCTCCAAACTTCGTCTGATCAAACAAGTTCAAGTTACTTGAATGTTTTACCTTTGAAACGTTAGTTTTCAAAAAAGAAAAAGAATTATGTCCTCAAGTCTCTGAAACACTGTTTTCAAACAACTGTGAAGATAAATTCAGCACAAAAGCTAACCGTTAAGCACTTCTAGAGCTTTTGTTGACAAAATGGTTAGCCACTGAAAGCTAACCACTAAAACTTTGTGTATGTTATCAAACTATTTATGATACCATTAGAGTTCCAAAATAAAGTACTATTATGAACTGAAATAAAATCCTTTTTGTACACTTCCAACAGCCCAGCTGTAATCTCTTGTTAACTCTTGCAATGTTAACTGCATGCTGTGCTTTTACTTTCTTCAATCAACAGCTCAAGCTGCTGATCCTGCATGCGCATCTGACTATTCTTGCAGGATTCTCTTGTGCCCTGAAGCACGCCAAGAATTTTGCTGCAAAATCAAGTTTATAGATTTAGCTGAAAGCCTCTTAATGCAAGAAAAAAAAAGGTATTTTGGCACTTCAGTATGAGGGAAGAGCCAGGACAAGACCAAAACTAGGCATCACCTGTTAAGGACAGGAGCAATGCCCTATGTGGAAGAAGAGAGTATACGCAGATAGAGAGACATTGGCAAATCCCTGTAGACAGGTTTGTTGTACCTCCAATAAAAAGAGCACCAAAAGCACAGGCAGCAAATGCTGGCCCTATGAAGAATGAGCCCACCAGTAACACCTGCAGCTGCATGCACAAGGACCCTTAGTGATGCTATCCTGGTATTTTAACATCTGTAGTACTGTTGGAGCTGTAACATACCATGTAGCTTTCTGCTTGGCCAGTCTTATGAATACACAACACACAAAATACTCAATCACACTTAGTGGCTGATGTTTTTCTGTTAGTATCAGTAATAAGGTTGCAAACTAAGCAACAAAGAAGTTAATAAATAAATAAATTACAAAAAAATAAGTCAACACTAGGAGTGAATTTGACCAGTAGTCTGGCCCTGGATTTGTGATTGGTAACTTGGTTTTAATTATGATGAAATCGCAGAAAACTGCCAACTACCCATTAGCTTGATTCTGCATTTCATTTGGCATATGGTCAATTTAAACACAGAACTAGACCTCATCAAGTAATGCTGCCATTCAGCATTGAGCAATATTAGATTATTTAAACAGAAAGAGGAAAATAGGAGAGTTTCCTTAAGGGGCAGCATATATTAGCTAAAGACAGTTCTGCATCAGAGCTGGCTTGATTCTGGCTGAAGTGGCATATGGGCAGAGAAGCCCATTACTGCCCACAGAGATAAATCCTCAGGCACTCTTAGATTCAAGAGCTTTCTATATTGAATATACCACAAGCCAAGTAAATATTTCACCATCAAAAATAAAAGTTCCCTGCTCTTTCCTGTCATCTCCTTCCCTTTCCAGCTGCTTCTACCTGCACACTGCCACTGTTTGCCCTGAGCCAGCACTCATTTGATGCAAAGCAAGCTGAATCAGCTTAGTGAAATTACAGAAAAATAACCTCTGGCAAAAAAGTAAGTGTTCTTTTGCCAGTGAATTTACGGCTCACCTTGTAGCTACAGTGCATTGCTAGGAGGTGGAGTGGAGCAGGAAGGAAGGGAGAGTAAGGCCTCCTCCTTTGGCTGTCAGCAAGCAGCTGAGCAGTGCAACACAGCCCTGTTGCACGCCACACCTGTAGGCAGCAGCCCATGCTGCAGTTTCAAGATCACTCCTTGAACCTCAGGCAGATTCCCACTAAAGTGTTATCTTAACTGCTTAAATCCATCTCCTAATCAACACGTAACATTTTTGACTCTGTAAAGGATTTGCTATGTTATTTTTCCAAGTGAAGACTGCTCATTTAGGGGAAGAAATGAGTAACAAAAATTCAGTACTGCCCCAGGCCGGTATGCAGCACAGATTGTATTACAGTGCTGTAATTTGAGATTTTGCTCTTAAATAGAGTGAAAAATTGCATTACCTTATGTTTCAGCAGAATGTATTTATTATATTAAATTCCTCACTTGAGAGATAAGCTTTACTGGATATAAGCACTCAGTTATGAACTACAGTTTGAAAGGTGTTAAAATCCAACAAAACTCAGTTCCTAAACAGGAAATAACAGCTGGATTTGAAACAAAAGCATTTATTGCTAATGTAAGAACCAAAGTATTTTCAGTATTCAGAATCATGAATATGTCTAAAATGACTTCTAAATACACATCTTAATATGTACTTTAATCTACACATTAAAATAACGTGATTAACAGGACCTATCAAAAGAATTTTTTTCTGTCAGATCTTTCAGAAAAGCTGTTTATAAATATCATGGATATCAGAAAACTGTAAAAAGCACTTACTCTAAACAGCTTCCTTTGCTGTCTTAGAGAACAGTTACAAAATATCTTTTGGTTACCAACAGGTAAAATGCACAAACTTCGAGCTAACTTTCCTAAACGTAGGACGGAAACAAGCAGCATGGATCACTGTAATGAGAACACTGTGTAAGTCTCAGCAACTACTTACCACGACAAGTAGATTTATCTCATACACAGGAAAAGCAAACCACTGGATAAACGGACTTATCTGGTGTTTATAGACATTTGTGATTAATTTTTCAGTCTACTCCAAATCTATTAAAGCCATGTAAAAGAAATCAAACTTAACACAAATAGAAATTATGACAGCTGTTAACTTTTCTATCTGATTACAAGAATGAGGATCTTCTCCAACAATGTTCAGGAAAACACTGTGTCTGTGGTATGCTGACAATTAGTTCATTTAGTGGTCTAAACTAACTGTCTACCTGCCTGTAAATCTGGACTGGCGCTGCTTGTTTCTACAGCATCTGGCTGGGGTTAAACCACGACACATGTATCTGAGAGTACTCTTCTCTTTAGAGAAATACCCTGTAATGAAAACACACAACATGATGCTACTCTTTAAAGTTCATGTTGCCATTACTTGAAAAAAAAAATCAAACAAAACAACAGTTTTACAATTTCTTAGTATGTCACTGCAAACTTCCAGCAAGACACTTTTAAGGTGGCTCCACACTAACACAGTTACTCTAGATAACCAAACACTACAGCTAGGTGAAAAAGGCACTTTGTATCCCTCAGGTCCATGTATCACCCTTCCCTCAGGCCCTCTTCAGAGACAAAGCACCCTAAGTGTAATATTATAATGCAGATTAGCAGAGATCCTGCAGAGAAATCGAAAACTATAGGTCCTTCCCCACTGGAAATGCTACTTTCAATAGTAAGTGCTTTGTCGTTAGCATAAAACTGGAGCCATTTTCTGTCATCAAGCCTCGTTCATCTGTAAAACAGTAACCCTTGTGTTTCCCAGGGAAAGACGGTCTCCCATCCCCCATATACTCTCCTCCAGCTTCAAGCAATACAGGTGCTAATTTACGCAAACACAAGGAAACTCACTGCTGGTTTCTGGGTCTGGTACACTGCTGCTTTTCCCTCCTCAATTCCTCCCGTCCTCTGGCTGACTTCGCTCAGTCTCTTCAGCGCTGGTAACTTTCATGCTTACCTTTCCCTCCTGATCTACAGCTGCATTTCTTCCTATAGCTGACTTTGCAGCTTCTTGAAACTAGGCATGAGAAAAGCAGAACCTCAGCTTTTCCTCCTGAAGTCTCTTACCTTCCTGCTTTCTCATTTAATACTGATCACTTTTTAATTCAAATGTTGAGATTTATTTTTAACATATGATCTGTTTGGCTGTAGCCAAGTTTCTAAACTCTGCACTTCACCATTTCATTTAATGTGTAGTGAAATGAAAATTCATTTTACTCTGTGGTTGGATATTGCCCCGAGTACTACAAACTGAACCTTCAAAAGACTTACACATTAGCATACACCTTCCTGTTCTGAGCACTGCCTTCAGGTACAGTCGCCTCTTTTCTAGTGCATACTCATCTTTACCTTAGAGGCACATTCCTCCTGCTCACCTCTGCCTTTTCACCTTCAGCCTGTGGGGAAAGCAAAACACCACAGTTCATTCACCATCTCCCTGTCCAACACAGATGTCTCCTTTGCTCCTACCCTGTTCTGCACAGCTGGTACCCATTTCTCTTTAACAAACACACAGACAAAGATACAGAAACATACTGGCTGTGCACCAGGTGTCTTAGACTGCTCTAAATACTTAAAACATTCTGTCTGTTCTTCCTTCTGGTTGACTTTAAAGCCTATCCAGGCTGCAGACCTGCACTGAGTTATTAATGGGAATGCCCGAGTGTTTTGGAAAACTCATATACATATGTATTTCAGGCTTTTAGAGTTCAGAAAGGAAAAAGATTGTTAAAGGGCTGTGGTTTTATATTATTTAACCTCTATAAAACATCCTCAAAGCAATGACCAACCTAAACCGCTGAGCACCTGCACACAGGAGCCTGAAGTGACAAAGCCAAGGCTCTTAGCAGCCCTGAGTGAAAAACACGGCCAGCAGCTTCTCTCGATGACCCCCAACACCTCTGAATTCCCGCTCCGGCGACCCCCCCTCGGGTTTCTACCTTGCACCCCCCCGCCAGTTGGATTTTCCCGTGAGGGAGGCGGCGGGTCGGGTCGGCGCGCCCCGCGGAGGGGGGAGGCGCCCGCCCGGACACCTCCCCCCTTGGCGGGGCAGGGCAGGGCGGGAGAGCCGCCCTACAAATTGCTTTACAAAGCGCTCCCCCGCCGTGAGGTAACCCGCCGCCTCGGGGTGGGAGCCGGGGCAGGGCGGGCTGTGCGCCTCCATCTTGTCGGCGGCAGCCGCCCCGGAGGCCGCGGCGCTGCCCGCCGCTGACGCCGCTTCCCCTCAGCGGGAACAAGATGGCCCCGCCCCGGCTCCTCCAACAAAGCGCCAGCGCTTCACTTGACGCGGCCCCGCCGAGAAACCGACCTTCCCCCCGCCTCACCGCCCGGCCCGGCCGTCCCCGCCTTCAGCCCCCCCCCACCCCGCCCCGGTGGCGGCTACCGCCCCCCGCCACGCTCCCCTCCTGCAGCCGCGCTTCCCCGTCGGGCCGCGGCGGCCCGTTCTCAAGTCACAGACCTACTTGCCCTCCGCCGGCGCTGCTGGTGGCGACTCCAGTGGCGGCTCCCTTCGCTGCGGCCTCCCTGCTCCCCAGGCCACGGAGCCGGAGCCCGTGAGCCCCAGTGAGGGCTGGCGGGGGAGGTGCATCCTGGGAAAGAGCAGCCCGACATGGGTCTCCGCCTGGCCGCCGCACAGCCCCCGCCACCGCCCGCCGCTCCCCTCAGCTGCCCGCCCGCCGCCGCCGCCCGCCGCTGAGCGGGAGGGAAGCAGAGGCAGGGCAAGGGGGCCCGGGGCACGGCGGCCTGGCCCGCGCCGGGGAGGGGGGCCGCGGCGCTGCCCGCCCCGCATGAGGCAGGGGGGGCCAGCTCCCACCCGCCCCGCTCGGTGCCCGCCGCCGCCTCCCTGCGCGCAGTACCCGAGCGGAGCCCCTGTCGCCCTAGCACCGCGCCCTGCCCGATGATGGACAGGAACTACCCGACGACCCCCAGCTTCACCGACCCCTTGGCCCCGGCCGGCGCGCAGCCCGCCGCCTCCTGGGCCTACGAGCGGGGCGCCGGCAGCCTCAAGCCCAGGTGAGGAGGGTTCTCCGGGGGGCTGCGGCAGGAAAGGCCAGGGTCCGGGCTGGGGCCTGACCGGGGGGCGGCTGAGAGAGCGCCCCGTGAAGGGGGTGAGGCGGGCGAGGGGCCCCTCCGGGAAAGGCAGGGTGGCGGGCGGCCGGGGCCCAGAGGCACTGCGCTGCTGGTGAGGCCGGGCGGGGCGGGGGCAGCGGGCGAGCCGCGTCCTGCCGGGCTTCCGCGTCTGGGGGCACGGCCGCCGAGCCGCGGGCGGGCGGGGAGCAGAGGGGAGGTGGCAGGCCCGGGCTCCCCGGCGGCCCTCATCGTCGGGGCGGGCGGGCGCTCTCCCCGCGCGAGGCGCGTCCTCGTTCTCCGCCCCGGAGGCTCGCGTTGTGTTGCGGAGCGGGTTCAAGAGTTCACGGGTCCTTGCCCGGCTCCGGGAGGAAAGCGGGGCTCCGCGGCGGCGGGAGGAGCGCTCCCCGTGTGCGGGGCCGCGGGCACCGGCGCTGCCCGCAGGAACAATGCGGGCACCGGGCCGCCTCATCCCGCGCCCGCAGACGGCAGCCACCTCCGTGCCAGCATCCCCCCGTCGCCCTTTATTTCCCCCTTGTTTGGGTTTTTTTTTTCGACGAGAGAGGGCTGGTTAATCTCTTTCGTCTAAAGCGCTGCTCTCGGGCGTGCAGAGCCTCCTTTCAGCTAAAACTTGTCTGGAGCTATTTGGTCCCACCGACAGTTCTGTAAAGTTCCGGGAAGTGCGGAAAAATTACAAGCTAGCTCATTGGCTTCGGGTTGCTTTTTGGTTGTATAACTCTGCCAACTAAAATGAGTGTTTTCTAGGTGGTGAGGTTTCTGTTACCGCTTGTCTTTTATGTCTTTAGTTTGATACAGCTGCAGTTCTAGACGACTTTTAAAGGTAAAAAGAGTGTCAGGCTAAAAATATACAGTCAAAATAGGTGTACCTGTTGGTCTACCTAGCTTTGCATTTGGTCTTGAAAGTGGTCAGGCGTGTTCTCTGATTTGACTGGTAAGGTTAATAGATTATCAAGTCAGAAGGACTGTTGCAATTATTTTAGTCTGACCTCTTCATGATGCAGGCCATGGGACTGTTTCCCCCCCAGCCCCCCCAATTTGTGTTTGAAACTAGTTTGTAGTTCAGAAGGTGCAGTTAAAAATTCCGACTGAGGTAAAATTCAACATGATTCTTGGTATACGAGTGGCTGATTCGTATTTTATTTCTTATTTCTGATTTTAAGAGGGCTACTTTTCGTTTCTAGCCTGCTACAGCCTCATGGGCACTGAAAAGCCCATAACATCGTTATGAATTCTGATTAGTTTCTTGCTTCATATTCTTTTTATTAAGAGAAATAAGTAATTTTATGTAATTTGTTACCAGACACACTCTATTTTTTTTTTTTTTTACTTCTTCAGTTATTCTCTTGAGTTTTCTCCTGGATCCCCTCTAATTTATTGTCATCCTTGGTGAACTGTGGACAGTGCATTTTAAGAGAAATTAAAATCAGTGTTAACTAAGAAGATAATGGATCCTTCCTGGAGCATGAAGCTCTGGATTCCTGGTTTCACAGAGAATTACAAGGATGGTTAGGTGTTTTTTGGCCAAACACTTGCCCAATGAAGCTGTGTTTAGCCAAGCTCTGCGCAGTTTCCTACATGGCAGACTGAGGTCTCCTACTGTTCTCTGTGATCAGTCTTCCTAATTGTTGAACTACTTTTGGTCATGTTGCTGTGTTGGTTTCTAGGGTAGTCAATGACATGTCCTTTCTGTATTGCTTTCCCCAATTATCGTCGTCTATTGAGGATCATGCATCTATTCCATGAGGAAGATTTGGGTTTTGCAGGTCATATAAGAGTATGTCCGTGCAGGAGCAAGAGTGGATCTCTCTAGGACTTAGAAGAAACACAGCTATTTGATGATTATTTTCTATGTTCAAAGAAATTCCCTGGTTTCAAACAATGGCTGCTATATTAACGCAATATTAACTGTGTATTTTGGGAATTCCTCGCTTGAAATGGCATGGAGAACAGTCCAAAGACAAGTACCATGCAGAAGCTCTTTGGATCATTGCCTGCTACCTTTGCCAATCAAATTGTTAATCAGAAAACTCAAATTACTATTACTGAACCCATTCTTGATATGACTGTTTATTTTATACTTTAGGTAGCAATGTCAAGAAGACCTTGCTTTCAGTTCTTAGAAGGTTCATCTTGAGGCTGTGTAGGTGGTGATGGATGATGCATTTAAAATGTGTTGACTGAAATATTTAAAAATTTTTTAATTATTTTTTTTTAAGTGTAACAAGGGCAGGGAAAATACTGTGAATCATATTTTGTGCTGGAAGTTCTCCTGTACTGAGTTTTTAGAGTTCATGCCATTGTTGTAAGCATTAAAATACCCTGTCTTCAGCAAGATTTAAAGATCTGAAACATGTTGGGCACAATGTTAAATACAGTCTAGGCTTGCAGAGGTGTTTGTAGTTCCTCTATCACTGATAACATTTGTCTGTGTATGGATGGAGACAGTTGCTGGGGAACTGGGATGCAAGAGTCATACCTATCACTGCAAAGGCTTGTACTAGCCTGGACGCAAATTGTGGAGCTATAGAAGTACTGTAAGGGAATATGCTGTCAATGTTCTTGGCTTGTGTTACAGATCACGTCACGTTTTTCCAAATGGTGTTTTTGATCATGGTTGACAGGTAGTCATCTAAACAGCTGAAGCTGCATTAGCCTGATGTTAATTTTTCTTTTAAAAAGTATGTCATGTTGATTTGGTACTTGACTGAAAAGAATTCAGCCTTTAGGTGATAGAAATAACAATATTTCATTCAGGTTTCTTTTCATATTTATGCTGTTGCAGGCTGTGTCGTGGCAGGCTATGTTCCCTTTGTGTGGAGAGCCATGTTCACAGTCTCAGCTCATCAAAATGATTTCCCCTCCCTACAAGTGTTGCTCCCGTCTTCCTGTGCTTAACTTCAGCCATCTGGTTTTTATCCTGCCTCTTATTTCTTGCAGGCACTGTTTTGTCTGTGCAATGGCACTATTCTTATCAACTGAAAGGAAATGTGTGGTGAAGTATTATGAAGACATTGCTACTAGGCCTGCTGTGACATAACTTTTCCCATGGAATAGTAGAAGGTAGTGAGACAGGAATGGGAGCAGATAGCAGTCGCTTGAATCAATGCATTAGCGTAGTACTTGAAGAGCATATTTGAGCAGTGCAGCTGTGGTGGCCCTGGAGTAGAGAGCTGAAAAAGGTCCTCCTGTCCTTCACCTTTCTCTTCTCCCCCACATCTCTTACACAGGCTGTCAGCATCCTGATGGAATTTCTAATGGTTGTATGGCCACACTGCCACTTTTGACCTTTTACTGTAGCTGTTAGAAAACCTCACTTCTGTGCTGAAACGCTGTCTTTTTGTGGCACAGTCTAAAGCTAGTCCTGTATTCAGTAGCAGATAACATGTCATGCTTGCTTGTTACTTGCACAAGAAATACATGGTCTTCAGGAAACAGGTGAACACTGTAATAGTTCGGGAGACTGTCATAATTGCTTGGGAAAAGAAATGGAGCTAGGTGATACGAGGTTTCTGGTTGTTTATTTCTGTCTTGGGGCTACTTCTTTCATTTAGAGAAGGTTTTTCAGTAGTGGAGGGATCTCCCTGTTCTTACTTGGTTTTTACCACAACTCCAAGAATCAAATCTTCTGCTGTATGTGATTGAATGGACATCAGTCACAATTATTTTGTGGTTACTTTAAATTTTACGATGACTGTCATGGTCTCCAGTGTTTCTTTATGCGTGGTAGTCTTTGTCTGCCTCTGCCTGACCCAGACATATGTGGTTTTATATAATGTATTTCAGGATGGTTCTTTACAATAGATAACACTTACATTTGGTTAGCCTGGCCTGTATTTATAGCAGGTAATCTAAGATAATGAGTTAGTTACAGTAATAGTTCATATGCAGATTTACCTAAGTGGGAGACTTAAACTTTTATGATAACCTTTTATGACTTAAATTTTTATGATAAGTGGTTGTGATGGTTTTTTTTTTAACTTGTGTTTGCATAGGTGTCAAGCTAAGGCTTACGGTAACAATTGTATAATAATTGTGCCTTAGTTAAGGCTCAATTTTAAATTGTAATGTATTTTTGCATAGCTATAGAAACTCTAGAAGTGCAAATAGTGTTTTAGAGAAGTGTGGAACACTGTCTTTCATCAGATGAAATTGTTCTGAGAGGTAAAACCAATGTTTGTTGTTAAACATGTTTCCTGCGAAAAATTCCCTATGGCAGAGCATTTCAGATGTTGAAAGCTAAAGCTTATAAACTGTGAATATATTTAGAACATTTGCTATTAAAAGAAAAGGCACAGAAGGATTAAGTAAACTGTATAAACATATAAAAGGGTAGGTCACTTCAAAATCTTAACCAACCTTTTGTCATAGTTTATATTTAAAACATTTACACATACAAAATTAACCACAGGTAGTCTGGGGTGTAGCACAAGTACCTTATAGGGCTTTCCTAGCTTTTGTCAGTGTTCAGGTTTTTTTCTTGTAACCTTCATTCAGTGCACACTGAAATAACAGTTGTGGGAAGTTCAAAGACTGAGTGAACAAAGGCACTGAAGGCATTCATGCTGTATGCCCCGTAGGTTTCACAGGTGCAGATGTGTGGTCCTCTTGTAAAATCTTTGCTGAAGTTTCAAAATAAGCCAGCTAGGCTTGTTTGGAATTACATGCTGCTTACCTGTCTAAGATTTAACAACTGTACATGAAACATTTGCTGCAGTGAGAAATGGTGATGGAACAGGGTGCAGAAGGAATGAGCTGAAACTTAGTCTGAGGATGCAGTTACATGAGATGGCTGAGCTTACTGCTCAGGCACACTGCTGCTGAAAGGGGCTCCCTTCCTTCTCCCTTGCGTTTGCCCTGGTGATTGTGCAACCACCCAAGGAGCTGGTCTGGTTTGTTAATCCATGAGAACACTACCATGACCAAGCAGGTGGATAGCTTTCTCTGAGCTGGAGAGCTGCGCTGGTATACCTGTGCTGCCAGGCAAGAATCCAGAGGTGGCACCAGGAGACAAACAGGAAGCAGAGCTGTAAAGAGTAAGTTGTAGCCTCAGCAGGGACTCTGCTTGTGTCATCCAGGGCAGCTTTAGATGGGCTCAGGCTTGCTGTGTTGCCGTCTTCAGTGAGCATCCCAGCCAAGTTGTACTACCTGTGCTTTGTTACCAGGAGCACTTAGTGTCTGTGTTAGTTGAGTGCTCGATCTCTCTTGAGATCCCCTAGAATGATACTTCACACATGAGCCCTTTCCCGTGGAGCTCACAACTTCAACACATTTCTGAATGTGTTGTTCTGAAAGAGGTTTTGTATTCTTCCACCTGTGCAGAAAGTCTT